AACAAGCATTGGAAGAGAACTAAGAGAACTACAGAGAAAACAGCAGGCACAGTTTCATTCATGCATATTTTAAATAGTTCAGTTAAAATGTACTAAATAGAGTTTAAATTATTCCCAGTTGTTTCTGTGAAGGTGTGACAACATGTCAAAACCTGGATTCAACTGATGTTGTTTTATGATGTTGTTTTTTTATTCAGGCACCAGATTTTCAACCGAAGTGCGAATGCCAAAACATTACAGCCAAGACCCCAAAAGATACCAACTTAGAAACAGTGCCACAACATATCAACATCATTTTATTGATCATTTTCTCCAGAACTTTTTAAAGGATGCAGCTGAGGAGGCAACCTGACTTGGAGATGAAGCTACAGAGCTGCAGTGATTGAGAAACAGGAAAAAGAAAGTGAAATGTACTGTTTTTCAGAAACATCTTTGACCAATTCATTTTTATATGGCAAACTTTTCAAAATTAATCATGAAGAGCTTATTCTAGGTCTATATTAAGACAAAGATTTTTAGTTGTGTTCAGAGCATGTTTGTTACTATTCTTCAAAAAACTGCAGTTAGTGCTGAAGATAAATTATGTCTAAACAATTACTAAAATATTGAAAAAAGGATGTCATATGTCCTATGGCTCCTATGTCTAGGGGCCATAAACTAACTAGCTAAGCTTTCAGTCAAGTGCACTTCATGCAACTCTAAATCAATTTTAGATTAAACTGGAAATCATCTCCTAAGCATCTTTCTGACCTATGCCATGCCGAGAGATGTGGCTTGGCAGTGCTGGCAGGTTCCAGTGCAGAGACAGGGACCAGTGGCACTGAGTGCACCAGTGGAACTCTGGCACGAGCTCTCCCTGAGCTACACACAGAGCCCAGCAAGGAGGAGCAGTCAAGGCAGGGTCTGGCAACCCAGCTAGAGAAAGTGCTGCTGCTGGGACCAGACTATGCCTAAACTGCATTGGCAGATTTATTACAATGAATAAAATATTTATTAGCTTTATTTCCCTAACTTATTTCCCATGTTTTAAACCATTGGTCTGTGTTAGGACTCTGGAAAAGATCATTGCAGTTCATCTGAAGAGAGCCTTTCCACTTGCAATACCATGGCAGTCCCCAAATACCCAAGAGAGCATTCTAAAAACTCAGCACAAAGAACCTGCATGTCTTTGAGTCTCTCCTTTAAAATTTGCCATTAGAGAAAATTTCTTTTGAAAAATTCTGGCTTTCGAGCATAAACAATTTAGGACATTCTAGGTAAGCATTCTAGCAAATATTGCAAACCCAGCTTTTATCAAAAAAATGATTGTCACTCTTTATCACTTTGGTACAGCTTGATGCATCTCTTAATTCCCTGACATGTAGAGAAAGTGTAGTTACTAACATGGATGAATCAGTTGCATCAGAAGATACAAAGATATTATTGCAGTATTTAGCATTAACTCAGCTATTGTGCAGTCATTAGGGAGACAATGCCCTTAACAGAATTAGTTCATTTTCACAAGTGCCAGCACATAAAGCAGAGTGCAACTTTTCTTAAGCTCTGCAATAAAATAAGCTGAATTTAGATACAGGATTATTTTCTTCTGGATCTGGCCATTAGGGGCTGTACCTATCATTTAGGTGCTTGTTCTTAGAAATGCTTTAATATTAAGAGATATAAGGGACTTGAAAAATTATTATTATTATTTTATTGATTTACTTTTAAAGACTTTTCAAGAAGTTTCACTAACTGCCTAAAGCAATGAATAGGATAATTTTATTACCATCTCTAACTTATTTTGGTGGGGTTTTTTTATGATATCTTTCTCAAGATAGGACTTCATAGATCACAGAACTTCATAGGACTTCATAGATCTTCAGGAGAAAGTAACATTTGAGATTTTTCTAACTTATCTCTGAAGTATTTTAAGGGTTTTTTTTTCTCCCCTATTTAAATTTATATCCCCTTTCCATTCAAATTCTAAATGGAAAATGGCTACAAAAACATTAAAAATTAATGAAAATGAATTAGTTGTCCTTGCAATTACTTGAGAACACCCCAAGTCAGAAAGTTACATTAAATACTGTAATACAATCAATTTGCATGTAATTTGATTTAATTAAATTAAAGTAATTAAAAATGTTAGCACTTAAGTAAAGAGTGACATATCACAAATTTACTTCTAAGTGCAATAATTACTCTCACTTATAAAACAAGCAGCAGTTCATTTGAGGGTGCCTGCAATTGTAAAGTCAAGACACTGAAAGCAGAAATTCAGCCTTGGATTCTCACCTCTTCCACACAAGGATAACACTTGAGGACTCAATTTCCCTCAGCTCTCTTCTGTTTCCAAGCAGATTATCATTCAGCAAAAATGCTGAACTACTTTATGGTCACACATTTTACCGTGAGAAATCTCAGTAAAAGAGCCAAACATTTTATTTGGAAAGGGCAAGAACCAAGGTCATCTTGATCACAGATGGCAGAAGTTAAGAACTGCAGTACTTGACTAGCACATCAACTACCAATGTGCATCTTTCTAAAATAAAAGCAAATCACCATAGAACCTTTCATTCTGAAGAACCTTCAAAACTTCAATTAAAACCTCGCCTTGAAATAATGGGAAAACAATCTCTTCTCATTTACCCATCCTCTGTTACTGCAAAAGTATATTCATGGACTTAAGCAAGCAACTGATTTTGCACCTGTGCTTATTTAAGTATGACAAATGAGTTATGTGTTTAACTATTACAAATGAGAATAATTTTCCCTCTGGAACAAAAGTTATGGAATTTCTAAGTCCTTTTGTTATAGTTGCATAACTGGATGAGAGAGCAGTGCTTGGGTGCCTACTCAGTTCCCTGATGGTCCAGAAACTCCCCAGCAGTCACCTACACAGGTGGGAACAGACCAGCTGGAGACAAGAGGGAGCAGGATAAATAATTGCTGCAGGGGACTCTGCGGGAGGGACCTCTGATATGTACTCATTATGGTGACTTATACAAAAAACCCCCAACAAATTAGGGGTTTCTTTAAACAATCATTCTGCCCATGAGTGTCTAAAATGATCCAGAAGAGCAAATTGAGAAATTTCCATGTTTGTGTGTCTGCAGCAAAGGAAAAGAGAGTAAAACCTTCTCATTGAGGTGATACTAAAAGCTTTCAGTGTCCTCCAAAATACCTTGCCAGTTCTTTTAATATCGTTGCTTGCCAGGAAACACAATATGGCTCTGAACAAGGGCTATGAAAGGTTGGCATATTAAAAAACATTTAGCTATTGACAACATGTTTCCTAAGGAACAATGGCTGAAAATGTACTTTGATTAATTCTTCTCTTTATGTAAGGCTAGAGCATACTAAGTAAATATCTATTTGAGATGACACCATTTGATATAATAATGAATTACAGGGGGAAAAAAAGTATTTCTAGAACTTTAATTTTTCTTAAAATAAGAAAAAACCCAAAGTAAAATAAACCAAAAATACCCACCTTTTTCCCCTCTTCATTTTACAAATAGATGTCAAATGCTGTTAACCTTCACAGAACTAATCTAAAAATGATTAAGTGTCAATAAAGGTTAACAAAAATAATCCACAAAAGGGAACACAAGCATTAGCACACTAGAACTAGCAAAGAGAAGCAGGGACTGAATAAACTGAAAAATTAGTACCTCATTAGACTTTTTTAAAAATTTCTATTCTATTTCTATTCTACTTAAAAACAACATAAAGAAATTTTAATATAAAACTTATATTATGAGCAAAATTACATAATTTAGGTTTCTGGGATATGACTAGAATGATTTTTCAAAATCCATCAATCTGCCAAAAGTGAAAAAGAAACTTAATTAGCACTTTAAAATCCTCTGTATCTGCAGATCATTATTGTCCTTCATGAAGCAAAAATGTTATTTTTATGTAATGGTAAGAGACCACAATCTTGGAAGGTAATTTTCAGAAGTTACAATATGATTGTACCAGAAGAGTAAATTTACTGTGCTGAATGCTTGGAGAGAAAAACAATACCTTGGTTTCAGAATTAGTGAGACTCTTGCTCCAGTAGTTCTTATTTGCAATTCCCACATGAATCAAAACAATCATATTTCCAAAAGTCTAATTGGAACACAAATCCTGAAACTTGACTTATTGTCCCATGCATCTTCTACTCCTTTGATAAAACTCTGAAAAACACTTTTACAAATCGCTAATTTCTATTTAAAGCCACCTTAAGGACTGTCACACTGAATTTAAATTTTCTGGGCGTGCTGCTGCAGCTGTGGCATACCAAATGCCACTGCTACCAGCGCTGCAAGATTAAGCTCCTTCAGGATTATCTCAGCCAGAAAACACCATGCCTTTCTGTACCAATCACATTTGCCAGAACAATTTTCAGTCCAAACTGGACTTCTGAACACCAACACACCTTTTCAAAACCAATATTTTTAGGTCTAACTGTTGCACAAGATCAGGCTCAGATTAATATTTCTAGGAAGCATTCGTCTTCCTCCACAACTATATTTGTATCAAACTATCTGAATGCTTCACATTAGATGCATATATCCTCTATAGTATAAATGCACTGTCTTTTGTCCCCTGATTTCAGGAAGGGACAGAGAAATTAAGCATTAAGTGTAATAAAAGTGCCTATAAAACAAAGAATTAAATAAAGATATGTAAACATAATCTGGAGCCTTGAATATGGTGCTGAGGCTCTCAGCAGAGAGCAATGTGAGAATCTGGCAAACTTCACTTTGGATTGTCCTGCAGATACTGAGCTGCCTAAACACTGTATTTTCCTCAACAAGCAGCAAATAAAGACAGAGTGATGCCAAGTGTCCTGCCCCTGAAGAGGAACATCTCTTACTTCTTCATGTCCACATTTCCTCTAACACGAGGTGCCCACTTGCTTCCCATCTTTTAAAAAACCAAAGGAATTTCAGTCTGCCTTTTGTTTGTCTCTTTCCAGG